ACACACACACACACACACACACACACACACACACACACACACACACACCTCTGAATATATGTATATTAGAGGGTTCTTGGGATAGTACAGTCTAATATCATTAGTTATGGAGAGATGTCCATATTAGGTTAACAGGGATGGAAAGATACCCTGTAAGAACTCCTCACACTGTAGCTTTAAAGAAAAAGTTACATAGTATGTGACACTGGGCTATTTTATGTGTCTGTGTTCATGACCATACACGTGTACATATGCAGGTGTGCAAGTATGTGCAGAGCCCAGAGGTTAATTTCAGATATCTTTCTCTATTGCTTCTTACCTAAATATGAAGACAGGGTTTCTCACTGAACAGAGTTTGCAGATTCAGCTCTACTGGCTGGCTGGTAAGCTCACCTCCTGTCTCCGTCTCCCCAGTGCTAGATTCTAGGTGTCTGCCAATACACCCACATCTTCATGTGGGCACTGGAGATTGGATTCAGGTCATTTTGCTTGCATGATGCGTACTTTATTAACTGAGGCTTCTCCCCAGCCCTACTTTGACTATTTTGACTTGGAATTTTACATAAATGAATAATACCAATAACTGATGATATTAGATTTGTCTGAATTTAATGTTCAATTACCTCTAAATATTCAAATATTTTACAAATGTAAATACCAAGGAGAAGTTGGGTAGAAACTTAAATATTTGTATTTTTATGGAAAGTCAGTTTTTCCTCAATAAATTTTCTGGGAGTTCTAAATCATCATTGACTAAAGAAAAGGATGTGTGTGTATGTGTATGTACATATGTATGTGTGTGTATGTACATATGTATGTGTGTGTGTACATATGTATGTGTGTGTATGTACATATGTATGTGTGTGTGTGTATATATACATATATATATATATCCTTTTCTCAAAAAATAACATGTGGCACATTTATCACATAAAACTGGCTTAAAACTAAATGTTCTCCAAACAAATATAATATTTTTAATATCATTGCTTTTTATTCTGAATGGGGAGAGAAGATAAAATTTCAGTTTTATAATTCACTAGGTAAAATTATGTGAAATTGTACTTTCTCTAGGTCAAGCACAATTGAAATCAGAAATTTACTATGGTCAATATTGTGTTCAATATGGGGTTATTCTGAGACAGAGAGTGTGAAATAAAAGGGTAGAAAGGCTGAAGAGAGAAGGCGTGTCCCCCCCCACATCTGATAGAACCCTCACTGTCAGCTTTAGCCCTCAGAACAGCGACATCAGTGCCACTCACATCTTTTGGATGAGAACTGGGACTCAGAGGAGATGAAGCGGACGTGAACAGTCAGACAGGAGGAAGCAGAGCCAATGAACGGGTCTCTTCTCCAGGGCGTCCGTGAGCTCTCGGCAGTCCTACCCACATCCACTTTCCTATGGCCATCAACTCACTCACGTGACTTTGTCATCAACCAAGAGGATCCTCCAGCAATTGCCTTGTACTGACACCAGAGAGCTCCATGAATGAAGAGGTCCCACTGCCTTTGGTGGCCTGGAAGGGTCATGAGTTCTCCTTTGCATTAGGTATGTTTTTCTTTTTTAAGTTTTGTTCATGACTTTCAGGCACTATTTTAGGATGCTTCCCACAAATCCTGCTTCCTCTTGCTGCCTGTAAGTGCCTCTGGACCTTAGGCATGTGACTATCATCTTTTCTCTCCACCTCATTTAGCTTTTATCTATGCATTTGATACTTTTATATTTTCAATCCCTTATTAAAGGGTAGTTCTTTCTATCTGGGTCGATTTTAAAATTGTTACTTCCAATAATTTCACATTTTAGAGTTCTGTTTTCCTTTTGGCTTATTGCTTAAACTAACCCTGTTTAAAAAAGATACTCAATTTCATTTTTTTCTCTTTCATTACGTGACCTGATAAATATTCAGAGATTGGCAGTGTGACTCTAGACAGCAGTATGCAAATCACATTCTGGCTAAATGGTTGAATGCATGCTTAGCATGTGTGAGCCCTGGGTCCAACCCTCGACATCAATCGATCAATAAACAAATACAAGAATACAAAATGATGGTCAATGTTACAAAAGCATTTCAGGAGACATTTCTAAATGTATCTTTCTGCCACACTGAGAGTTCATGTAATTTTCAGTTACTAGTTATAATACAGAATTAAATCTTTAGTCACAAGAAAAAAAAGATATAATTTAGAGGAAATCATCCCAAGACTAAAAGCTAGTATGTTGTACTCAGTAGGAGTGTGTGCTGTGTCTAACTTATTGTTTATTCATGTGTTTACTAATCAGATACTGTCTTGCATATTCTGGACTGCAGGGTCAATATGGAAGTATCTACAAAAGTAATATACAAAAATAAGCTTTACTGTCCTTTGGTTATGCAAATTGATCCTCCTTCCTGAAGGTCAAACCCTATTTGTTGGAAGCCGAGGGAGAGGAGCAACTTCCATTAACATAAATAAAGACATGGGCAAGGGCTATAAGATGAACATTCAATTAGAACTCTCACACAGACACACTCTTAAGGCTGCTAAAATATCAAGTCTTCAATTCTCCATTAAAAACAAGCCCTGATTATAAGCTTTCAAATGATTTAAAGATGTGAAAGCCTGTCTGCAGTTGAGCCCGGTTCAAAGCCAGAAAGAAATCATTTCTTCTTCTTCCAACTCCAAGTCTGTTTAGGAGAAGGACATCTGATAGAAGTGGTTGGGCCAGTCTAACCAACTCTAAATACAAAATGCTTCTAGCAACATTTGGATACATATAATTTGACAAAAAGTTTTGTAAACTTAAGCTTTGAAAAAATAGAAACTATAAGCTCCAACAAAAAGCTTAATATGTAATTGAAAGAAAATAATATTTTGTAGAAAAAAAAGCTGCCCTTCCAAAAAGAGACAAAAATGACTAACTTTTATTTCCCAAGAGAATTATGCTACTTTTATACAACAAAATTACAGCCACCACAAATTGCTTTCAACAATTCCATCGCTTCTTCATTTGACCACTTGAAAATCAAGATTCCTCCAGATTATAAATATACCTTTTATAACTCTGTTATTACGTACTGTGAACGGGGAAAGAGGGCCAATCCTGTGGCCGTAGCGCCGGATGGCTTCTCTGATGTGGCAGGGCTGGATGGCATCGCCGTGAGCCTCAACACCACAGGCCGCAGTGCTCTGGGACAGAAAAACACATAAATTGTTACTAAATCAAAAACACACAACACAACTACAGTGTATAAAATATGAAAATAAACCTTTATAAAATGGACCATTTTCCCCTTAGGATGCACATCCCTGCTGCCATATACTACATCTAAAGAGAAAGTTCCATTAACAAATCAAAGATGACTTTTCCATGACCCCGTCCGAGCAGACCCACCAAATGCAGTTTTTATGCCTTCAATATTTCACCCAAGCCTGCATGTCAGGTAGGAGCATACAGCCACTTGTGTGCTGGCAAAAAGTGTCATGGGGGCTTGTTGAAAGACCCACAGGAAGCTCTTTTCAAAAAAAACGTTTAAACGTTTATTATTATAAATGTTTCTTGGGAGATTCTTGGGCTTATTTTGAAATGACTTGAGTCATGAATTTAAAATGAAAAAATGTAAAATGGTCATATATTTGTCATATTGGGAACTGTCACAGAAGACCATTTAATTTGATTCCTAATATTTTAGGTGTCCTTGGGATAAAGTAAAATAAAACCTTCCTATTTTATCTCACGTATAAAAGGCATGTTTGAAAACACAAAAAAATACATGAAAGATTATGTGCAATGAGACTGTGAGTACAAACTCAACAAACTATATACATCCACATGTATGTATAACACATGTATATATGTGTATGTATGTATGTGTTGATACAATGAACTGTCCTAGTCAGGTCTGCAAGTTCAGCCTTGGGCCCAGAGACCTTGGGTCCAGATTAGAGCCCATTAGTTACCAGCTCTGTAAATATCGCTGGGCCTCAGATATCTTTTTTTTCCTGTAACTTAGGATAATAATTCTAAGTACTTCCCAGGCTGGCTGTGAAACTACATGAATTGAAATAGATAAGGCACTCAGAGTTATAGTGACATGCTATAACGCTATTACTGGGGTCACATTATGTAAGGGTCACCACGAACTTGATGCAGTAAGTCATCTGAAAGCACAGTAGGCACCAGATGTCAGCTCATCAACTGTACAGAATTAGAGAAAGAACTACCCAGTCTATATGCTATTGTAAATTGTGTTCTGGAACCCACTCACAGTCACCCAATTAGCGTCATTTGCTCTCCTGAGCCTACAATTACAAAAATGTTTTTGATAATTCTCACAAGTTTGACATCATGATTACTCATAGGGAACATGATTCTGCGTGTAGAACCTCTGCAGATAACAGTTTGAGACAATCTTATCAAAATGAAAAGGCACAGCCTCTTTGACTCAGCAATTTTACCTTTAAGAATTTTCTTAATGACACATTTCATGATTACAAAATAAAATGTAGAAATATACACATGAATAGTTAATACACGACCATTTGGATTGACAACTAAATGCTTTCTAGTAGGACTGGGCAAATAAATTATGATACAGTCATTCAAAGAAACAGAAAAGATGACATGCATTTTAGGCCTTTCATATTCTTATGGTGTGATACCTAAGACACGAGTGTGAAAAAAAGACAAGGTATTCAATAACTCAGCACTGTGCTACTGCTTATTGAGAACAAAGCTTGAGCAGGGCAGTGGTGGTACACTTCTTACACCTTTGATCCCAGCACTGGGGAAACAGGAAGATCTCTGAATTCCCGGCCAGCCTGGCCTATAAAGCAAGGGCCACACAGAGAAATCCTGTCTCCAAACAAACCAAATGTTGTTTATCCATTTAAACATGGACCGTCTCTGTGAGGGTTCAGTGAATATAGTAACAGGGCTCTCACACAGGGCAAGTGGCTGGCTAAGACAGGGGTCAGAGGAAGACTTACTTTTCATTATGTTCTTCCCTGAACTTTGAAAACATACTTTTAGTCTATGTACAGATGAGTAGAACAATGAAAATTCCTACCAAACAAGAATAGCTGCTAGTTATCCAAGCTGAACTTAAAGGAAGACTTAAAACATAAAACAAACGGGCTCTTGATTATTTTGTTATAACAAGAGCTGAAATAAGCCAAATCAGAATTCACGGAGGAGCTCTCGACCTCTCCTGTGCCCACATCACATGGATTAAGTTATCTTAACCTTCACTTTGGCAGTGATGTAAAGGTATAAATTGTTTCTTTGAGTGCTTTCTCAATTCACACTCCATTTCATTTCACCCTTGGAAGGAATACATGTGAATAAAACACAGTCATCAGGTCCCCAGATGTAAGCACAGACTCTTCAGTGCGTCCGTCCGTCTTGCTCTGTGACTTACACACCTGCATTTACAGTTGATGCCCGTCAAGGGAGTAGCAGGATCCTCTCCACTTGTGGAAATGTATGTGAGTATTCAGCTGAATTTAGAATATACAGAGAAAACCTTCCAGTAGGAACTCAAGAGGAAGTGAAGTAGACACCGAGGTCAGTATCCTGTATGTGCAAAATGAAGTCCTAAGTGCTATGTACAATAATCCCCTACGGTACTCTCCTAAATTCACCGTTCTCTCCTTGCAAATTGTATTTAGTTTTCATGTCTTAACTCAAGGGGAAGACAGAACTTCCGCTAAGTTAGCCAACAGAGTTGATCCTATTTGTAGAAGGTTTTGCCCGGAATCCCTGAACTTTGCAAGGGCAATCCCACAGGACTACCTGGTCTGAATCTACCTGTCCTCTCCAGATTCCCACACTGGGATCTTAATGTCCAAGGGCTTTAGGAGGTGACACAGTTAGGAGCTAGAGCCCTCACTCTTACTCCCATGTGATGTTAGGTGACTCTACACAAGAAACCATATGCAGACATTCACTAACCAGTGAATTTGCCAGCACCTTAACTTTGGACTCCCTAGCCTTTGGAATATGAGAGACAAATTTCTCGTTTGTAAGCCACATAATTTATAGCATTTGACTCTAGCAGCCTGAATGGACTACGACAGAATAATAAATTAGAAATGACTCTGCTCGTTAACTAAAAAAAAGATTTGCTTATGTTTATTATATGTGTATGGGTGTTTTCCCCGCCTGTGTGTCTGTGCACCATACGCACGCAGTACCAGCAGAGGCCAGAAGGGGCGTCAGATCCCCTGGAACTGGAGTTAACAGAAGGCTGTTAGCTGCTATGTGCTGCTAAGGTTTGAGCCTGGTCCTCCCCAAGACCAGCCAGTGCTCTTACCACTGAGCCATCTCCAGCCCTCCTGATTGCTATTTATAAATATGGAGACAAGACACACTGGATCATGCATCGTTTTAAAAAACAAAGTTAACTTAACCTTTATAAAAGTTAAACACATACATTTTTGTGAGAATTCCATTCAACCATTTTGCCAAGTTCATACTCATCTGCCATTATTAGTAACTGCTGGCATTGACATGAATGGAGTTACAATGGGCACTTCTACATTTTCTTGGTTTGTCCACTGAGTTCAGTGAAAGAGAGGTTTGTAAGTTAAAAGTTTATATTCCTAGTAATTATTTTTTCATCTCAACAAATACCTTATGTCACTATCCAGTTCCTCACCAAGGTGCTTAGAATCTGTTCAAGTTAAAGATAAAGTCCACATTTAGAAATATCAATTTAGCTGGGAATCAA